GGATCGCCTCGCCTCGTCACCTTTTCACAAAAGAAAGGGGTTAGTGGTTCCGGCAGGTTGCGTCCCCGCCTGGGGGGGCATGCTCATCAGCGGCTGGGGCATGGACATGGAGGCGGGGATCCCGGCGCTCATCCCTGCGCTCGTCCCCGTCGCTCCCGCGGCGCCCATTCCTGGCACCCCGCGACCCATGGGGGCCATCCCTGCCAGGGGGACCATGGAGGCAGGCGGAGTGGAGGAGAGGGGCAGGGGCTCCGCCACGCCACCGAAGCCAGAGGGCATCGGGCTGACGCGCATCTGGTTGAGTGTGGGGGGAACCGGCTGGCCCACTTGGAACGGGTTGACGTGGGAAGCTGGAGCAGAACCACCTGCAGAAAGGGAAACACATCATCAGTGTCAAAGAAAGGCAGAACCTATGAAAAGTGCTGCAAGAGGAGGAACCAATAGCTGACGAGCACCTTTTTTTTAAATTACTGATCAAAATGCATTTTAAACAAAATAAAACAATATTTGCTTCCTTTAAATGAAAGTACAACGTGTACATGTAAAAAATAATATATAAAAAAATTCTCAATTAAATTAAAAATCGTGGGCTACAGTAAGCTGCTGCTGCATTTTCATATTTACCATACATGAGGTGAGCTGAAGACACATAAGCTCATGTGTGACCAGGCTTACCAGACTYAGCTCACTTCATAACACCCCATGTTATACAAGAAATCTATCCTTTGAGCTGCTTGAACAGGTTTAATTCACACAGAAGTGCCCAACACCTGTGCAATCCAGCTGGATTTACAAACTGAGTCCCTTATTGGAAAAAGCACAGGTGGGTGTTTTAGCTGGACGCATTTTGGGTTTGTTTTTTAAGCAGCTTCTCTGTCCTTAACCAAACATGACAGGAAACATCCTGCAGTTGTAGAAAACATTTACTTTGTTTTAGGACAAACAACCGAAAAGTAGTAAATTTAGGAAAATTTAGGTACATTGTGTCCTCCACATTGTCCATTCAAAAACTTTGGATCTCAGATGATTTTCTGCACAGTTTCAATGTTTAATGAACATTAACTGTACATGTTTGTGTTTTAAAAGGTCAAACTCTGTAYGAACCCTGATGGTGGGGAATCAGCATTTTTTGGGAATGAAATATAATCAAAATGAAATCTTAAATGTTTATCAATGAAAATCCCTCAAACATTTAGAGAAAAAAAATAGGAAAATAATAATAAATAAAGGAGATTAAAACAATTAAAAAGGTGCTTGAGTTAGGGCTGGGTGATAAAACAATAATGATATCAATGATAAATATCGAACGAAAAAACATCCAATAGAACATTGATAATTTCACTTACAGAAGTTTAAATATACAGTGGGGCGCAGAGGTTTGGGCAGCCTTGTTAATTTTCCTGATTTACCTTTATAAATCATTGATTGTTTGGATAAAAAAATCAGTTAAATATATCATATAGGGCAGTGTTTCCCAAAGTTGGGGTCGGGACCCAAAGTAGGGTCCCGAAACATCAAAGTGGGGTCCTGAAAAGATTTTCTGAATTAATTACATTTTTGCCCTAGTTGTTACAAAGGAGTGAGGTTAGTATACTTAAAATGGATAAATTGTTACTATGTTCAAGTTTTGTTGATCTGATACGTTTATCATCCAAAAATAGTTGGGGACACAGGTCACTACACTGTTATTTTGTGGGTCAAAAGCTGAAAGGTTTGGGAACCACTGCACTTTGGTTCCCAAAGTTGGGCTTGGGACCAATTATGGGTCATGAAGCACCTTGGATAATCTCCAGAAATCAATTTAAAGGGTAATAAAATAATTACTGATGTAATATTTTCCCCATAATTATTACAAAAACACAAAATAAGTAAAGATAAGTATTTATATTTGTGTACAAGCTGTGTAGATTGTCAAAAAGCCTGTGTTTTTAGGGTTATTAACAAAGTTTGTGTACTCAGACCAGTAATATTTGGGGTCACAAGTTTTTGGCATGGATATTTTTGGGTCAGAAGACAAAAAGTTTGGGAACCAGTGATATAGGGGACAAACACAGTGATATTTGAGAAGTGAAATGAATTTTAAACGATTTACAGAAAGTGTGCAATTAATGGTTAAACAAAATTAGGCAGGAGCATCAGTTTGGGCACTGTTGTCATTTTATTGATTTCAAAACCTTTAGAACTAACTATTGGAACTCAAATTTGGTTTGGTAAGTTCAGTGACCCTTGACCTCCATACACAGGTGACTCCAATTAAGAGAAAGGGCATTTAAAGGGAGGCAATAGTAAGTTTTTCTCCTCTTTGATTCTTCTCTGAAGAGTGGCAGCATGGGAGTCTCAAAACAACTTTCAAATGAGCTGAAAACAAAGATTATTCACCGTCATGGTTTAAAGGAAGGATACAGAAAGCTATCTCAGAGATTTCAACTTTCAGTCTCCACTGTGATGTGAGAAAAATGGAGGACCACAGGTACAGTTCAAGTCAAGGCTCCAAGTGGCAGACCAAGACAAATCACCAATAAACAGAAGTGAAGGATGTTGAGAACAGTCAGAGTCAACCCACAGACCAGCACCAAAGACCCACAACATCATCTTGCTGCTGATGGAGTCACTGTGCATCGTTCAACTATTCAGCACACTTTACACAAGGAGATGCTGTATGGGAGAGTGATGCAGAGGAAGCCTTTTCTCCGCCCACATCACAAACAGAGCTGCTTGAGGTATGCTAAAGCACATTTGGACAAGCCAGCTTCATTTTGGAATAAGGTGCTGTGGACTGATGAAAGTAAAATAGAGTTATTTGGGCAGAACAAGGGCCGTTATGCATGGAGGAAAAAGAACACAGCACTCCCAAGAAAAACGCCTGCTACCTACAGTAAAATGTGGGGGTGGTTCCATCATGCTGTGGGGCTGTGTGGCCAGTACAGGGACTGGGAATGTTGGGACGCATGGATTCCAGTCAACATCAGCAGATTGTGGAGACCAATGTCCAGGAATCAGTGACAAAGCTGAAGCTGCTGAAGCCGGGGCTGCATCTTCCAACAAGACAACGACCCTAAACACTGCTCAAAATCTACTAAAGCTTTCATGCAGAGGAACAAGTACAACGTTCTGGAATGGCCATCTCAGTCCCCAGACCTGAATATTATTGAAAATCTGTGGTGTCACTTAAAGAGAACTGTCCCTCAGAAACCATCAAACCTGAATGAACTAGAGATGTTTTGTAAAGAAGAATGGTCTAAAATTCCTTCAGCCACAATCCAGACTCTCATTAGAAGCTGTAGGAAGTGTTTAGAGGCTGTTATTTCTGTGAAAGGAGGATCTACTAAATATTGAGTTAAGGTTTGTTTGTTTTTGTGCCCAAATTTAAGCACCTGCCTAATTTTGTTTAACCATTTATTATTGCACACTTTCTGTAAATCATATCAACTTCATTTCACTTCTCAAATATCACTGTGTTTGTCCCCTATTTGATATATTTAACTGAATTTTTTAAGAGGAAAGGTCAGGATTATCAGCCTTTTTCTCCTGGTCCTTATTTCAAATATGTAAAACAAAATCTAATAATAAAGTACTGATTTTGACTGATGTTGAAACACTGACTTATATCCTGATATTTTTTCAGCCCTATCACCCAGCCCTAGCTTGAGTACAGTTTATCGAAGGTGATCGTATTGTCGTTAAGCTCCTACCTGTGGAAGCTAAGAATGGGTTAACAGTTGGTGCCGGCTGGGCTGGTTTGGACACCAGAGAGTCCAAATTGACCAGGGCAGCATTGGGTCCCAGGAAGGACTCTGGAGTCTTTCTAGTTGGATTTGTGGTGAGAGATGCTGAGGAGGGCAGGGGGTCAAAGAAGTCCAGGCTGCCGCTACTAGCAAGGCTGACTTGTGAAGGGACAGAGGATGCAATGCCTCCTTCAACTGGAAAAAAAAGATGATTTTTTTTTATAGATGAAATACTCTGCACAAGCAAAATGTTATATAACCCATCAACTTGTAATTGATTTATAAAACAGAAACTGCTAAATCTTTTGGTTTCTGCAAGTCACAGGTCRACCACCACACACAGAGAACCTACTGGATATTCACATTTACTGAAAAATAAACCCTGATCGATGCAATAAAATGATGATACTATTACAGCAGGACATCAGAGGCAGACAGCCTGGCTGTTATTTTGGGTCAACAGTTAGACGGCAGCAGAGACATGATTTTAATGTATTAAAACAACCTGAGCATGCCTGAAAAGACATGAGGAAATGTCACAGAGAAAAATCTGTTGTGTCATTAGACATTAGACACTGCAGAGCCAAGTCCATCAGCACTTTGTATTAAAATCTACTTAATGTTTTAGATTTCAGCTGCAGTTCTCAATCTGCAGAGGACTTTCCCCCCGAAATTCACACAGGTTCTACCCTGTGTATGTTCTTCTGTCCTTTTTTTTTTAATTTCTGGTTCGTTTCTGTCGAGCTAAAGCTTCAGTCACCTATCTGAATGGTTTCCCATTTGCGATAAAAAGACACGAGGTTCCTTGAACTGGATTGCAACAAGATAATAACATGTTTAGTGGTGCACAAACAGAAGCTGCATCAGATAACACCACACCGATGAGACCAGATTTGGGCAGGCAGCTAATTTGCACCACAAATTGGATTTTCTGCCAAATTTAAAAACATACAGAAAGGAAGAAGTCATCAAGTTAAAACGTATGACTTCAGCAGTGCAAACTCTGTCTGCTCAATTCTGGGGACACATGCATACAAAGACGAGACATGAGCGTCTCTGTGCCCCCGCAGAGACAAAAGGGTCTGCAGACGGGCATGTTTTAAGACACAGAGAGGTAAACAAAATCAAACAAACACAGACTCCGTGTCATTAGAGGGACAAAGACAGGGTGAGTACCAGTGGGGACAGAGGAGGAAGAGCGCAGGCTGTCAAACTCTGAGAAGTCTTCTTTGGATGTACCATTGGACGTACTGAACAGGTCAAAGCTACCTGGAAGGAGACAACCCATCCACACGCGCACACACAACACAAAAATACACAAAAAACAGTGCACAAAAGTCATATAAAAACGAAACAGAAAAGCACAAAGACAAATGGATACAAACATTACGAGTACAGGTGAGCATGGACACCTTGGTAAAGTTACAGATAAACATTACAAGTAACTGAAAGCATGCAGATGGTTGTGACTGTGTTGTGTTTGTGTCCCACTGTGAGTTTAAACAAAAACAGGTGTCTGTAAGCTACTCGTCTGTCACAGATCAGAAATCAATTTATCAGGCAAAAGAAAAAGAGAGATTGAAGAAAAACAAAAACTTTCCAACTTCCAACTTGTTATCCAGCATATGATCCAATATACTTTGTTTCTTCAGCACCATCACAGAAACTGTCTTCACAAAATTGCATAAAATAGACAAAATATTAAAGCAAGTGACTAAAAGTAAGTGAGACTAAGTGTTTTACCTGTGTTGGAGGTCTTGGGGCGGGCAGCTGCAGAACCCCAGGGATCAGAGGCAGGAGTGGAGTTTGAYGCCCATGGATCACTGCTTTTCATGGATGGGACAGAAGATGGAGCGCCCCACGGGTCAGAGGGTACAGCTGGTTTGGGTGCAGACCCTGAGAAAAAAAAAACAGAGTTCACTAAAGATGCTGACTGACCATGTAAACCAGGAGCACTCTTGGAGAAATGTTATCCCTAGCGGGAAGGGGATATCCTACAGTAGGCCTTTTTTTGTTTGGTTGACACATTCCCTTACTTTATTTGGGACATAGAATTGAACTGAAATAGCTAAAAGTTTGTATACTTTTACTAAATTTTTATAGTTTAAGATACAAAAAAGCACATACTGTAGAAAACATCAAATTTTCTATCAACTTTTGCAGACTACTGAACCTTGCACCCTGATGCCTTGTGTGAATTATTGACCCAAATTTTCATAAAACAAATTGAAAATGTGTTATTCTGTTACACTGATCAAACTTTCTCAGGGAGATTGCTTACCAGAATATTTAGGAATTGTCCTGTTACCCCTTAAAATACAATTTTAGTCATACACAAAGAGGTCGTTTTGCATGGGCTGTACTCAGCTGTGCCCGAGTTGATTGTGCGTCTATTGGGTGATGCCACCTGCTTCCAGCTCTGCTACTGAAACTGAAGGACTAAGTTGGGTCGAAGTATGGTGAGGCGAGTTTTGGACAATGTAAAACAAGTTCATCTATACACACTAGGGTTGGGCAAAATTGTATTGTGAGCGATAAATCGTTAGAAAAACTTTTGACAGTTATTATTTGGCACTTGGTGATAACTACAATTAATACCTCCGTCAGTCAAATCCAAATACTGCAGCGCCTACTTCCTTGTCAAAGTATGTTCTCCGTCTCAGACTGTTTTTTTCTCCATCTCTGCATTTGAGCTTCCCTCCTTTCGCTGGAAAGGTTCTGACTGCAGCTCGAGCCGCAGCTCCACGTTCAAATATCACCTCCATGTTTCACTCAAAGACACTAAAACTGACTAAAGGCTAAACATACTAAACTACACCCAAACTATAAAATCTCAACCCGGTAAATATCAGAAATTTCTCAAATCCTATTGCTCACTCCCTCTCTCACCAGCTCTCCATTGCTGCCAAACTTCCTTCAACTTTCACATCTTTTTATTTCCTTTTTGGCACTTGTCAAATAATTTCAGGCATCAGCCAGAAAGGGGGGTTAGAACAGGGCTATTCAACTAAATTGCTTCGGGGGCCACAGTTACTGCAGGTCAACAGCTCAGGGGCCAAACATCCAGCAGTAAAGTCATTATATAAATAAACCAAGTATTACAAAGATCTGTTACCTTTGAAATTGTTTATTTTGCTGTATTTAATCATGAATATAACATACACAACCCTATAAAAGTAGTGATAATTAAACAATATCAAAATAAAATAACGCCTCCTTCAACAAAAATATTATGACATCTCTGATTTGCCAAATTTTTAAACCAATTTTATTTTCACTTTCATAGTTTTTTTCTTCAACTGCTTGTAATTTTAAACTTTCTTGAGTGATCCTAGAAATGGTTTTTATCAGCTTCTAGCCGAGATTCTGATGTCTCTGTAGACACCAAACACGTCTATGTTTAACTAAAACAACTTAGAGTARTTAAAGTAGAAAACYGGGGGTTTGGGCTTAAGAGACGAATGAACCAATTGGCGGGCCRAACTTTGGTCACTCGTGGGCCGGATGTGGCCCGCAGGCCGCCAGTTGAATAGCCCTGGGTTAGGGGGTTTTCTGTTTGTTCGGCTGGGTGAGACCAGAGGTTGTTGTCTCCTGCTGCAACAAGCTTCAAACATTAAAAATGTTRTTTTTTTAAAGTGACATATATTATTTATCAGAAACTCTGGTTTTACTTGATCTATCAACACAATTATAAGACTGTATATGGCTTGAAGTTTGTCACAAATTGCAACATATCCTTAAAGGAAGCATCCCTTCCTACACCTAGAATGATTTTAATTGGTCATGTGACTAGGACATGCCAGGGTCTAGTGGGTTACTCGTGTTATTAATCATTATCGGCTAAACGCCAGTTAATTTTGATGGTTTTTGCCAATTTTGCCCAAYCCTTACACATACACACTAGGGTTGGGCATAATCATATCGTGTATGATTAATCGTCAGAAAAACATTAATCGATTAATTTTTGGCACTTGACAATTAATACGATTAATGCCAACAGTTAGAATCCGCTCGCAGCTCCTCTCAGCTTCAAATATGAAGAACATTAAAAAAAAGTTCTGTAACTTATTTATCTATCAACACAATTTATAATTTGATGTATAGCCTGAAGTCTGTAATTTTGACACAATTTGGAACAGATTTTTATGAAGAGCAAATCTTTCCCATTAAATTGGTCATGTGACTATGAAATAAGGGTGTCCAGGGACTCCAGGGGATTAATCGTCAAATTAATCGTTATCGGCTAAATACCACAATTAATCGTGATTAATTTTTTTGCCAATATTGCCCAACCCTAATACACACACTTGTGTTGGTTTAGACATGAAATGAACACATGGTTCTTTAATGTCTTGAAAAGTATTTCTTTTGACCACATTATAATATGAGTCTTTGTATTTTKTAATTAAAATTGAACCAAAGAATGAGTTATTTTCATAATGGCTACAAAGACTCCTGTTGAAAGCACAAATTTAGTTTTATCTGTAAGTACAGCTACTGATACCACAATAAGTACCGTACTAGTGTGTTCTAAGAAGTTCCCTGAAAACCCCCCAACATTCTCAGTTCAGTTAAAATAAAACTAAAAAAAAAAACAATTACAGTATCTTTGGTAAACAAAAGTGATTAAACATCACTGCAACTTTACTGTCAAATGTAAAACAGCATTCATAATCAATCCTTCAGCAGCGCCGCTGGGAACAATATGTAAAAGAGGATGAGTAACACTTCAACAAGATAAATTAGACTTCATTTTTCTACATTCGAGAACAAAGAGGAAATGCAAAACATCTAGACCTGAAATAGTCTCCTGGCTCCTTAAAAAAAGCCTTAGGATCTTAAGTTCAGAGTATTGTTGTTTAAAACGCAGAACTTTGTAGTGAGTAATTGATTTGTTAAATAACTGTCTATTTCTCAACTACTGCTTTGCATGTTAGTGACGAGTAAGTGACATTTAGAACATTTTGTTTTTAACTTTATTACGTTACTGTACCTAATTATTTTTAGCCAAAAAAACATGCAGTTGTGAAGTGTCAGAGGTAAAATGAAGTATTTACATAGTTCTTCAACATAGTTTGTTAAATGGGGGTATTATAGAAAATTGATTTTCTTTTAGCTTTATATCATGTTATGATGCCATTCCCTCATCAAAAGCATACCCCGAGTGTTGCTTTGACTCATTCATGCATGTTTGAGAAATTCTTGAATCTCCTGTGGTAGGCATGTGGAGCTGCCTAAACGCTTGTTGGTACAAAGCACCACCTGTATGTACCTAGCACCTCCCGAAAGCTCAGTCTGCAGCCCAGCTCCCGCCTCACAGAGCAGCCCTCCCCTGAAGCACTGTTGTGAAGACGTGCTGAAAAAGTAATGTTCAAGACGGTAGGGGGATCTTAAAGAGATAGAAGTAGAGGTGTCCCGATTCCGATACCAGTATCGGTATCGGATCCGATACC